TCCCTCTAATGTTCCATGGGACATTCTCAAACCGGAATAACTAACTCTCCTTGGTAAGACCTCGTTGTCCTCTGAAATGTCCCTTGAATTGTTGCCACCTATTAAAATCCAGTAATGCCTTCATCTGCCGCCATCTCCAGCACTCAGACCACTGCCCTTTCAGCACCAAAGGGTGCTTTTATCACATGGGGAACCCATCCTTCAAGCCACCTTCAAGTTCCGGAACTTTCTCTAATACAGTAGGCTTTCTACTTAACCCTTGACACCATCCACACCCTTAACGTTCCTTAGAGTTGTCCCACCTCTGAAATCTTAGCCTACTAAGTCCCTTTCCCCTTGTATGTTCACCCTTTTTCTCTCTCCACTCCCCTCACTTGATCTTAGCCTCCTTCAGATCACCTCATCCTTTGACTTCTGGATTATAGTTCATTTCCAGATACAGTCATGCGGACAACCAACAACAGCCATCACACCATGTTTCGTTTCTTTTCTCCCCAGTGCATTCTAGAAGCCACTGGAGACGACTGCATTGTGTGTTTCCAGGGCTCATCTTTCACCTACTACATGACATTATGTGTGTGTGTTTTCCTGTGGGTCCATCCTTGTGTGGGAGCACATGACTGCCGGGGCTAAATGTCACGTGGTGATATCTCCCTTGTTTTGTTTTTAAATGTTTCTATTAGGGTGGAGTTTTTAAATGTATCTATTAGGGTGGTGTTTTTAAATGTATCTATTAGGGTGGTGTTTTTAAATGTATCTATTAGGTGTGTGTGGACCCAAGCATTTGTGTGCACATGTGGAGGCCAGAGAAAGACACTGAATGCTCAACTCTCTTACTCCCCACCTTAGTTAGTCCCTTGAGATAGAGACTTGCCCTGAACCTGGGCAGGGCTCACTGTCTGTTAATCTAGTTTGGCTGACCGTTTATGTTCCCATCTCCATTTCCCCCAGCTCCAGCATTTTTACATGGATGCTAGAGATTGCACTCGGGACATCATGCTTGTGGAGCAAGCGCCTTTACCCCACTGATTCATCTCTCCAGTCCTCCACCTTATTTTTGGAAGAGATGGCCTGTCATTGGCATGGAGCTTGCCTAGTAGACGAGGCAGGCTGGTCATCGAGTCCCAGGGATTCCCCATCACTGCTTTCTCGGCACTGGGACTGCAAATGCGGACTTATAAATTCACCAACTCTGCATTTTTACATAGATTTTGGGGATCAAATAGGGTCACAGTAGGCCCTTTACCAACTGAGCCATCTCCCCAACCTTTCACAGTGCCTTTGCCTTACTTCTCCTCCAGGTGTTGGCTTCTCTGTCTCGGGAGCTTCTACCTTGCCTGCCTGGCTTTCTCTTGATTTTCATCACTCAGGTTTGGTGCTTTAATGAAGAACAGTGTTTGCTGTTCAGGCTGTTGTTACTGCCACAGGGGACCAGAAGGGTAAGAGCACGAGTCGTCTAGTGTTCGCCTCGAAGGGGTGAGGTCATAGCTTCAGTCCCAGACTACAAGGAAAAAGCAGAGGAGCTGGTGGGATCACTCAGTTGGCAAAGCGCTTGCCCCAGAGGATCTCAGTTTGATCCTTGGCACCCACATAAAGCCAGGAATGGTGGTGCTTGCTTGTAGCCTCAACATTGGGAGATGGGGCAGAGACAGGTGGATTCCAGGCAATTTTGCCAAGAAGGAAAGTTCCTCCAGGCTTAATGAGTCTCTTTCTCTCTCTCTCTCTCTCTCTCTCTCTCTCTCTCTCTCTCTCTCTCACACACACACACACACACACACACACACACTCACACACACACACACACACACACATACACACATGCACGCACACAAGGACACACTTGCACTCATATGGGGTTTACAGTTCTGCCACACCTCACATCACCATAGGCAGGCCAGGTCTATATCAATGCCATCTATAAACTGATAGTAATGATAATGATTTTCTTGTGGGACCATCATGAGGACTGGGGGAAAAAAGCAATGGTTAACAAAGACGATGTTTAGTTGGCATTCACCATTGCGCCAAGGTCTATAGAAAGCTATTGCTTAATAAGTGTTTAATACGTAGCAACCCTGCTTCCCATTTTCTGGTTTCATCTGTGTTAGGTGCAAGAAGACAACACCACTTCTCAGGCTGCCCAGCCCTGCCCATCAAACACTCTGCAGCTGAGCTCCAGGCCTCTTCTCTCTGGGACACAAGTCTATGTCACAGGCTGTTAGTTTTATGAGTCAGCTTGGGTGACAGTTCCATGCTCAAAATATTTCCTCTCTTACCCTTGACCCTGACACAGTGTCTTTGCACCAAACAACATGAGCCTTTCCCACGTTGTCCTTGTCCTCATCAAAGGGGACAGAGAAGAAAACACAAAGTCAGTCTTGGCAAGTCTGCCCGTTCTCTCTCACAGGGGCTGTGAAGAAGTTCGAGAGGTTAGAGCAGATAGTAAAACTGCAAAGGGCAAGAAACCCTTCCCTTTTCCTCGGGGGAAGTTCAATAAAAATATTAAAGAGCAACATCAAAAGGCTGGGAGATGCTACCTGAGTGATGAGCCCGTGTAATCTTGTAGGTCAGCTTCGCTCTATGAATGAGAAGCTGATGAGCCCCAGTGTGTCTGTCTGTAATCTCTGCAGGAGGGGTTGTGCGCAGAGGACTCGGTGACTCGCATGTCACCAGAACAGAACACTGAACAGAACAGAGCACCAGAACATGCATTGAACAGAGGCAGCTCCGGTTGAAGGTTTTGTTCTATGAGGTACCCTTGCCTGCGACCCTTAGCAGCCAGGGTCCTGCTCAGTAACCTGCCAAAAGCTCCAGGGGAAGAAAGCAAAACTGCATTGCTTGCCTTTTCGTGATGCTCCAGTGCAAAGGGAAGTGGGTGGGACCCAGTGTTCAAACCTGCCTGGGTCTAGACCTCTTATGCCATCCAAAGTGAGGTGATCTGAAGGTGGCCTGGAGCGCGGTCAAGCATGTGGCGTCACTCAGAATAGGCAGGGTGGTGGGGAACTAATGAGAGGTGTGATTGTGCATGAAATGAACAATGAACAAGGAAATGAAGTTTCTATTAAAGGACTTTCCTTGATCTTAATTTTATTTCTTATTCTATTAGTCCAAATATGCTTGTATTGTACTATATAATGGATCATGTATATAAGCATATGTATGAATATATATGTATGCTTATAAATATATAAATGCATGAAGTATAGTAATGCCTTTTATTAAACTAACATCACAAGACCCATAGATTCTTTGACACAATCTCTATTTCAATCTGCCTCTGCCTTCTGAGTGCTGGGATTAAAGGTGTGTGCCACTACACAGGGCTATATAAAAGCTGTTTTGAAGCAGGAAATTGGGATTAATGTTTCCTGCGGAAATTGTTTGAGTCAGGTTTGGAACGCAGCAATGCAAAAGTGACTGGGTGCAGACCACAATGACATCTCCCAGGTCACAAGGTCTTCCACAACGTGACCTCCCCCCACCCTTAGGAAGAAGTAGTGACTAACTCTACTCCTTTGGAATCAAGGTGGGGTAGTGGTGTATTTGGGTGACAGAGTAGGGCACTGGAGGACTTCTCATAGAAGTCTAAAATGGGGGTGCACATTTTGCCTAATCATGGGAACAAGCACGGGAAGGGACATGAGCCCACTTGAGCATGTGGCTCTGGCAGACTTTGCCCTTTTCCCCATGTCTCTCTTCCATGCAAAACCATTAGGTGACATTCCTAAAGCTAGCCACCAAGGTCTAGTGCCTCATTTGTCTCCCTCCTCCTGAGGCTGACTACCAAGGTCCAGCTATCAAAGTATTGCTACCAAGAGATCAGAAGCCCCCTTTGGCTCACTTAATTAACATGCCCACACCTCGTCCTAACACAGGGTTTCCCATTTTACCTTTATAAACCACCATTTGCCCATTTGCCACATCTGTCGCCCCTCTATCCAGAAGCAGTCCTTTGTCCCTCTGGGACAAACATCCCTGAGCCCTTTCCCTTGCTCCCTTCCCCCTCTCCCTCGTTCTCCATCTCCTTTACCACCGCATCCTAGCCCATCCTAACCTAACACTGACCTCCCCTTTTCTCTTTCGGAGAATCACATCTGCAAGGTCATTTGCTGCTGTTTTTCTGCCTGAGTCCGAAAGCAGCCACTTGAACTTTTCTTCCCTGCTTAATAAAGGATCTCTGTGAAAACAGATGCTTGGGTGTGGTTTGCGCCTACTCCTGGATCTGGATCTGGCGGGGAGCCCCTGCTATGCAGCCGATGGGAGTCTTCTGCTTGAAGACCTGAGCTTCCGTGACTAAGAAGTCAGAAATACTTCTTCAAAACCATCACCCATGCAGAGTGAAGTCAGTCCTGTGTGGCTGCCCGGGGGCAGGGGCACACTCCTGTCAGTAACCCGTCATCCACACTCCATAAATCATCGGTTCCTTAGGGGAACTTTGGTTTAGCCTTGGGACCTTAGAAGATGATAGATGTTTCTTGGTCTCCTCTCAACCCAGGGAGAAAACGCCTCACCTCTCTCTGCACAAACACCTTTTTCTTACTGCAGCAGTTGCAGTCTGTCTTTGCCACCTTAATCCAACAGGGGCTGGCTTTGTTCATCTTTGGCAGTGGTCCAGCCTTTAACTAGGTGAGAAACTGCCAAGCCCACTCGCTAATTTTAGCTCTGTGCACTCACTCGGTGTGAGAGCTTTGCTCCCTTCAAGGGAAGGCCCTCCATACTTTGGCCATTCAAAAAGCCCCCCTGGGGCCTCCTGAGTCTTGACAGAGCTTGCTGTGCTTCTGTGTAGAGCATGAAATGCTGACTCACTGAAAACAGGGCGCGTTCATAAACAGGAAGCTGGGCATGTGACCGCAGGCATTCGGCAACAGATAGTAATTGCTGAATGAGGAGGAAAACTTAAACACACACACACACACAAAAACTGAGCCCCTAAATAAGAACTCTGCAGCTCATAGAAAGACAATCCTATTGGTCGTTTATTAATTTAAATAAGGGGAATTATTAATCAAACAAAATTGGTGAGTTGGGCAGACTGTACGTATTTACAGTGTCCTCCAGATCACGTGGTTTTGGCTTTTATCTTTTCTTTCCTCCCCCAGCACAGAGGGCTCTTCGGTGGGACTTTCAAGGCCTTCACAGAAGAGGTATATTTTGACTTTAAGCTCTAATACTCTGTCTGCCAAGATTGGAGCTCCAACTTGAATAAGGTGATTACAGACTCCACCCAGGGCTACCCAGGGACACCCAGACCGTGGTAGGCAGCCGCACTAACCTTCCAAGGGTTGCTTAGAGGGAGACTAGCTTGAACTGGGCATGTGAGGCAGACACAGCGGAACAAATCTGTTTTCCTTGGTTGTTCTCTGCTGGGGTGGTGGTCTTCCAGCCAATGGACTCAAAAAAGTTGAGTTCACCAGCCAAGGAAAGACCCAGGGGATTATCTTACAAAAGATTGTATTTCGGGACTTGGCACCATGGCTAAAACACTGTCACTGGGGCAAGGGCAGCTGAGTGATATTCGGAGTCTTTCCCCTCCTCTTTCGTGCAATCAGCCAATGAACGACAACAGATTTGTGCCTGGTACATTAGTTCCCTAATAAGCAGTGGCCAGTGTTCTGCATGCACAGTTCTGTTTGCCTTAGGAGGTAAGTATTGGTAGCTGCACTGAGTAAATCAATACTGAGGTCTTTATCAAATCGGAAGGAACAGGGAACTAGGATTGCAGCTCACGGGTCCCTTGTTGCATGGTGCAGATGAGTCTGATTTATTGCTGAAGTTTTAGTGTAAAATATGTCTGTTAACATTGACACTTTTGAGAGTGGTGCTTAATAGCCAAACACTATCTACAAGATAGAAAACCTTTTGTTCGACTGCCCTTTAGCGTCTCAAAGAACAGACAGCATTTATTCTTCTATTACTTACAAAGGGGTGCGGTAAGGGAAGTGATAAACGTCAGAGATGTCCTATTACATTAGTGCAAACTGATTTTGCACAATCTTTACTGTGTGTGTATCAGTATGAAACTGCTGGTAGTCTATATAAATTCAAAGAAACCCTTTTCTGTTGTTATTTAGGAGGAGAAAGGGGGAACAGAGAGAAAGAGACAGAGAAAAAGAGAGAGAGAGACTGTGTCTCGGTGTGTGAATGCATGTGCACATGTAAGGGAAAATAAATTTGCAATACTCTGTTTTCAACCCCTGGGTTCTAGTAGTCCGAGGAAGATCCTCAATGACAGTAGCAACTTTGAGTCTTAGGCAGAAAAATCTCAAAAAGCAGAGAAACTTCCAAAGCCTGGATAGGATTGGTCTGGATTGTTAATGGGTGGAGCATTCCCAGCTGCATCGAATTTGAATTTCCACGTGTCAGGGTTCAGTTCTGCTGAGTCACAGGAAGTTCCACCCTGACCAACAGAGAACCATCTCTCCCCTGTAAATAAAGCCTAAGGCACAGTTTTCGAGGACAGGATGATGCTTCACAGCTGGGGCAAGCCAACACACAGCATACCAAAGTCACTCATCTGTCGACTTTGGTGGAGCCTTAGAACAAAGAATTGCACATCACTTTTAAACAGTTGAAAGAAAATCAGTGAAAATGGATTCAGTTCTAGAGTGCTTGCCTAGCTCGTTCATTCCTATCCCAGTAGAAAATGAAATAGTACCGTGAAGGTCGTATAATTGGGGGGATGTAAAAAAGTTATTAGGAATTCACATTTCAGGGTTGTGATGTGGGTAAGTTGGGAGAGTGCCCACGTAGCATGTCCAAAGCCCTGGGTTTACTCCTCAGTATAGCATAAACTGGACTTGGTGGTACATGCATGTAGCACTTGAGAAATAGAGGCAGAAGGATTAGAAGTCCAAGGTCGTTCTTGGCTACCTAGCAAGTCTGAGGCCACCCTGAAACACATGACACATGGGAATCTGTCTCAAAAGAAATCCATCTTTTCTGTCTACAGAGTCACAGTGGGACACAAGTTGAAACATACCAGAACTCACTAATTACATAGTCTCTGTGACTATCATCACTCTGAATGGCAGAATTGACTAGTTGTGGCAAAGACCCGTAAGTCTATGAAACAGAAATTTGTTATTATATAGTCCTTTGTCAAAAAACATTGCTGGCTCCAGTTCTGTAGTTATGGAAGCAGGCTTCTTTTATCTTTTCTGTTCTACCATCTTCAGTGCTGGTTTTCAGTTCAGGCCAAATGGCTCCTTACCCTCTTGCTAGGCCTGCATTCAAGTCACTGCAAAAGAAAAGCAATTGTTTTTCTCATCTAAAAATAACTTCACTTATGCTTCATCTGGCCAGAAGTTAGACCTTTATCATATCCACTATCCATATCATGCCTGCAAACCTTGATGCAAAAATTTACAAGTCCAACAAAAAAATCAAAAATCAGAGTTCCCCAGTTATAGGAAAATAGAAAACTGTGTCAGGGGGCATCTGAAGTTATGATTCACCTCCTAAGTGTTTTGAGACAAAAGCAAGTGGGAAAATACTCCATAAAAGCAAAGCGCATGCAAACCCAAATTGTTGTTTTTCATGCTTTAAAGACAGTGTTTCAGTCATTCCTTTGTTCTTCAGTACTAGCATAGCAATTAGTAAAACACCCTGCTGTCTTTCCTTTTATTTAGATCTTTAGTTCTATAAAAAGAAACAATTTGTCAAATAATAAGGTATATGGAAGTTTCTGTTCCACCCAATCCCACAGTCATTCAGTCCCAAATAAACACACAGAGGCTTTTATTGATTATAAACTGTTTGACCTATTACTCAGGCTTATTATTAACTAGCTCTTACACTTAAATTATAATAAACAGAGATAATTCTAATCTCTGTTTAGCCACATGGCTTGGTACCTTTTCTCAGTAAGACATTCTCATCTTTTTCCTTTGCATCCAGCTTGTGACTACGTCTCTGCATTTCCTCTTCCCAGAATTCTTCTAGTCTGGTCACCTCACCTCTACTTCCTGCCTGGTTACTGGCCAATTAGCATTTTATTAAACCAATATGAGTAATAAATCCTTACAGTATACAAGAGCATTTTACCACAACATGAGAAGGTTATAGAAGCATTATAAAGAATACAGGGGGAAAATGGGAACCTGCCTTGATGTAGAACCTCAAACTTCCTGAGCCTATCATACAACCTTCTTCATGGTCATACAATGGACAGGCCAAACTTCATGTCTTAAATATCTACCTTTGTACCTCTGTTCACATAACTGTTCCATCTGGTATCACTATGTCACTTCCTGTCCACACCCAGGAGGTTAAAGCCCTTCTCTAGCATGTGGCTTCCAAGGCCTTCTGCATAATCCCTGGATTTCGGCTCCCACTATCTGCACCTTACTCTCTGTATTTCACAAACAAAATAATCCTAATCTATGGGGGAATTTTGCCCCCTCTGTCTCGATTCTAGGCGATACCAGAAGGGTGTTTTCCGGGTTCTTAAAACAATGGTTTTCAGCTGGGAGCAACTTGGCTCTTAAAGGAGACTCAGAAGCACCTGGAGACACTTGTAAAGAGCCATGTTTGAAAGATTATGTGTGATTATCATCTAGTGAGTCAAGGGCAAGGATGCTATTAGACATCCTGTGAAGTACCAGATAGCTCCTCCAAGATTTATCTCATCCAAAATGTCCATAGTTCTGAGGTTGTCCTGACCTGGATAAATTCAAGAGAGGTTTTATGTTTTTTAACAAGCATGTCTTAACAGATTCAGTTGTGTATTGAAATGATTTGAGCTTAATGAGAAACATAAAAGAATAAATATGAATGATACACACTGTGGGTGCATAAAAAGGAGATGCAAGTGTAGAAAGGGCTCTAAGCCCAGAATGACAAATCAACCTTGGGGAGAAGTGGAGACTGAATAGATTCTGAAATGTTCCTGTAAGGTAGTGGTTCTCAACCTTTCCAATGCTGTGACCCTTAACTACAGTTCTTCATTTTGTGGTGAAGCCCAACCATAAAATTATTTTGTTGCTACTTCCTAACTGCAATTTTGCTACTGCTATGAACCCTAACATAAATACCTGATATGTAGGAGATCTGATATGTGATTCCCAAAGGGGTTGCAACCCACAAATTAAGAACCACTCAAAAGGCTCATGTATTCAACACTCTGTATGTTGGTGATTCAAGTCCATGAAAGGTAAGTGGGCTGCTGGATGCAAACCCTAACAATGGTTTAATCTATCGGTGAGCTTATACCAAAGGAGCTATCAGGGGTGCCTGTTTGGGGGAAGGAGGTTACTGGGGATATGCTACTAAAAGCTCTATCTTGCCCTGGCCTCTTCCTGTCTGTTGCTCTCTATTTCCAGGATGCCATGAGGTGAGTAGCACTGTCCTACTGGGCCCCTTGCCAGGATGTTCTACTTTACCAGAGGCCCAGACAACAAAGCTGCACAACTGTGGACTGAACCCTCTGTCAGGAACCCAACATTGACCCTTCTTCCTTTTAAATGTTTTTTTTTTTTGATACTTACCACTTGGCCACTATAAGTCCTAAATTCTTAAAACATTTTAAATGCCATATTCTGTAGTCTTTGAAATGTTTGAAGAATACCTATCTATCTGAAATATATTTCTGTACATCTAGAAAATCTAACTAACATGACTACAAGTTTGACTATTATAGATTACTATTTATTAACCAATATTCCTTAATTATACATTACATTTTTAAATGAGCTGGATAAAGACAATTCTTAATCAAAATCAGAAATACATATACACAGTATAACAAAACTGACCTTAAATTTGTATCAATAAACCAAGATCCATACCAATGCAAATCTCTATAGCATATATCCCTTTAAATATAAAGAACCTTTTATAAACAATATTTGGGAATATGGGCAGAGTTCTCTTCAAACTACTTCCTGCTGTTTATTGGGTGAAGTGTTTTTGGGGGTGTTTACAGCAACCTTTGGGGGGTTTTGGTCCATCAAACCACATTAGTTTGGAAGGATTCCACAGGTTCTCATCCTCTGTGAAAACAAAAGAACCTCTTTTCCAAAGCAAAATATCCTTAGACTCAAATTCTGAAGTCAAGATACCTTTAAATTATATATGTTGGTTTAGTTTAGCAGCCTATACAATGAAACGTCTCTTTGTACTTAGCTTCTTCACAGTCAAAAAGTTAGAAGAAAACACAATCATGTACATAATCCAGACTTCTCTACCCCCATCACAACCCTATATAAGTCCCTGCTTGATACCAGTAAACAAGTTCCTACTTTGACAGACTCCCAACTCAGTGGGTGTGTTTCTCCCCAGTGCCAAGTGGGGAGTGCTGAGTTGTGACATTCACCATCCTGATCAGCCCCAGGGAAAGTTCAGGGGTTGTGGCTCTGCCCCCCACTCTTTCTGCCAGAGAATCCGGCACTCCAGCTCTACTCTGATCAAGAGGAAATCCTGGAATGCAGATAAGTTGTTCATGAATCCAGGTCTCTTAGGCTATCAAAGTCTTACTGAGGAGAAAGTTGAAGCTTCAATATTACACGTTATACATCAATGAGTTATAAAAGTTCCTTGTGGTCCCTTTCTGGTTTGTTTTCAATTTGTGGAAAACACATATGTAAGAAGGAATCAGCAAGTATTTGTTTACATCCAGAAGGTCTGAAAATGGTGTCACCCTCAGGATGGTAGGGGATACTTACCCAGTCCAGATGTTCATCTACAAACTCAGCCCTGAATCTCCAGGTATGCTCATCATTCTTGGAGAGATTTGATAAATCACATCTAGTTGAAATCATGCTCCTGAATACATCCAGGGATTGTCTATAACGTTGGTACTGAGCTATGAAATTCTGATTCCTTTGGGGAAAGCAGGTGACTCCCATCCTAGAACGTTCTTGAAATGAATGGAATGCATTCTGGTATCTTGCAGAGGTGGTGACACTTTTCTTGCTGACATCAACAGTCAGCTGCATAGCCACACTAGGTGACTGTAGGGGTGCTCGGATGCCAGCAGCATGGGACACCTTCCATGGCCATGTACCTCAGAGTGCCAGCATGCCTCTCTTTTGTTTTTTGTTTATTTGTTTGAGACTAGGTCTCACTATTAGCTGGAACTTGTTAAGTAGCTGGGGTTGGGCTCGAACCTGAGCTCCCCTTGCCTCTGCCTCTTAAGTGGTGGGGATTACAGGTGTGTTCCACCACATCTGGCTCCAAGTATTTTTCATGTTTTCAGTTAGTAAATTCGGTGGTTGAGATACAGTTTATTGCCTAACACTGAATACATACAACTTCAAACAAGAAGAGGGGGAAAACGCGATTGAATAAAGAAGTCTATATTCATTAAATTCCTATCAGATAATCATTTGTAGTTTCCCCTAAAATGCAGGAACTGTTACTTTTGTCTGTGCTCTTTTCTTTCTCCTTCCTTCCTTTCTTTCTTTCTTTCTTTCTTTCTTTCTTTCTTTCTTTCTTTCCTTCCTTCCTTCCTTCCCTCCTTCCTTCTTTCTCTTTTTTCCTTATCAAGGGGAGTCTTCTGCAATCAGCTCATGTATACAGTGTGAATTATTTCCCCAAAGATTATCTTTCTGAGTAGCGCAGTAAGACTGCTCATATATAAAGAAATATACTTGTGCAACAAAAATAAATTGGTTGTATTTTAAAATCCTTCAATGCATCTCCCAAATATCAAGTAATACACAACTAATGAATTAAGGTCATGTAAAAGCATATTGGAGGGTGTGGGGGGGGGAACGGAGCTCATGCCATGGCAGTGAGATATAAACCAGTGGTACTGCCCTGGAGAACTTTAAATGCTCATTATCCACTGGGAAATTCCACCTCCAAGTCTCCACTCTCAAAGCAAGCTGATAACAGCCAGTTACATGAAGAAATTTATCAAATGATTTCTGATAGACAAATGCAGAAAACAATAGTGTGTGTCATTTATTGAGACGATGGTACCATGTTGTAAAGGTTCAAACAAAAAGTCATGAAGCAATGCTTGCTGGCTTAAGGGTAGCGGGTACTTCAAAGAAGGGGATGTTGTTTCTATACTAACAGTTTCTGATTTTGAAAAGAGAAAATAAAGCATCTGTGCTTTATTAGCATAAATATTAGCATCTGTGTATATGACAGGTTGATACATACATGAATAGCTGTTAATAATTTGGGTGCTTGGCTATATATTCTCAATGCCATCATTAAACTTCAAACTTTAAGAAGTGTCTTTGAACGAAAACACAACAAAAAGGTTTTAGTTTATTTACATTGTTCTATATTTCTTTAGAGTATGTAAATACTGCTGACATCTTAATATAAAGTTCATTAAAACATGCCACAATGGCACTGTGCTCTGTGAGTTTCTAATTATAACATTCTGTCAAAGTTGTTTTCCATAAACAGCTTGAGGTGCCTCGTTTCTTTGGGAACTGTTTTTAAAGGCACAGATGTAGTTACTGAAAAGGCCACTGGGGGCAGTATAGATGGGAGACCTAGCTATTAGACAGTGTTGTCTCAGTAACTTTGACCGGGAGGAAAATACAGGCTGCCAAGGAGGGCCCCCTCAATCTACTAGTTCCTTAACAAGAGAGAGAGAGGCTGGAACAGCCCCAGCTATGCTTTCAGCGTTCCCAAATTTGTCTCCAGCTCTGAAAGAATTTTTCTTTAGTGTTTGCCTTCAGATCAGGGTTAAAAGGTGATGAATGACAGGTCTAGCCAGTGTGCCACAGACCGTGAGACTCCTTGCCCAAGTTGATGTGTTGAAATCATCTCTGTCATGGCGTAATTATGTTCTACCCTGACATCTGAAACCAGCAGGGCGCCTACTGGCCTACCGATAACATTCCAGCCACTTTGTTATGAGGGATAAGATCCCCCAGTTTTGTTATCACAGTGGTGAGACACGTGACTCACTTATCCCAAGAAGCAGATAACAGTTCCCACCCAGTCCACAGAATTAGCGACAAGCTATGCTGCTTTGATGTCTGACCTCCACAACCCTTGCCTACTCTGTTCCTGAACACCACCCCACCCAGACCCAAATGAGGGGGCACCCTCCTCCAGACAGTCGGCAGGTATCCACCTCATCTTCCCAGCAGCGGGGACCCTATGTTTGACTATGCTCACAAATGTAGGATGGAATCCTGCCCTCTCCAGCAGAGAGACGAGATGACCAAGATAGTAATGGGTTCACACATTCAAATCTTTCTTTCTTTCTTTTTTTCTTTTTTTCTTTCTTTCTTTCTTTCTTTCTTTCTTTCTTTCTTTCTTTCTTTCTTCTCCTCCTCCTTCTCTTTCTTCTTCTTTTTTTAATGTACAAAGTGTTCTGCAGACCAGAAGAGGGGCACCAGATCTCATTACAAATGGCTGTGAGCCACCACGTGGTCACTGGGAATTGAACTCAGGACCTCTGGAAGAGCAGTCAGTGCTCTTAACCTCTGGACCATCTCTCCAGCCCACACATATCTTTTTTAAACGCTATTTATTTATTAAGAGAGAGAAAGAATGTGTTTTTGTGTTTGCGGTGAATGTGCCCACGTGTGTTGTTGTTGTTTGTTTGTGTGTGTGTGTGTGTGTGTGTGTGTGTGTGTGTAGTACAAAGCAAGATGTTGGCTATCCAGTGTCTTCCCCTCTCACTCTCCACTGACTGCCTTGAGACAGGGTCTCTCATGGGACTGGAAGCTTGCTGGTTTGAGAAGACTGACTGGCCAGCAAACTCTCAGGATACACCTATCTCTGTTCCACGTTTGGCAGGTAAAGCCATAACCAGATTTTCTCACTTGATTGCTGAGGTTTCAAACTCAGGTCTTCGCGTTTTCAGAGCAAGTGCTCTGCCTCACGGAGCCATCCTCCAGACCTCACGTTTCCTCCTTAGGGCAACCGTTCAACTCCTTGTGTGTTTTCATGTGCCTTCATTTCCGGCTGATTTACTATGGTTAGAAGGGGTGAAGTGGAAAGACGAGCGAGCAAAATGTGTTTGATGAGCTACTGCTGCCTGAGAATATCATAGTTTTGAGGTCACTCTCAGTCATGAGCAAAGTGATGGGGGAAGCGTCGGCGGAGAAGGCAGAGCGCGTCCTGGAAACCAACCACTCACCTTGAGGGCGCAGAAACTACTGCTCTAGTTGGCTTTTCTGTTGCTGTGATGAACACCATGCAAACAGCAACATGGGAGAAAAGGGTCTGCTTCATCTTGCATGGCACATCTTGCATGGCACAGTTCATCACTGAGGGAAGGCAGTGCAGGAACCCAGATTTAGAACTAAAGCAGAGACCGGAGAGAATGCTCCTGACTGGCTTGTTCTCTGTGGCTTGCTTAGCTTGCTTTCTTATACAACCCAGGATGAACCACCTGCCTAAGACTGACTCTGCCTACAATAGACCCCTCCCTACATCCATCATTAGTCAAGAAAATGCCCCCCAGACCTGCCTACAGGCCGGTCTTATGGAGGCTTTTCTTAAATTGAGGCTCCTCTCACCAAGTGACTTTAGTTTGTCAGGTTAACAACATCTAACAAGCGCACTGTGTAATGAAGGACAAAAACACCTAACCCATGATAAAGCCTTAACAGCCACAGCTCAGAGTTTACAGCTAGCCCAATGAAATGACACTACCGTGACGCCACCTCTCTGGAAAGGTATCTGTATGCAGTGACGCCAATGACTATCATACCACAGGTGACACACTGTGGAAGATCGTCTCTGATTTTTTTTAAATGGTCAAATACTGAAGGCGTAAGTCACAGACAATCCCACACCAGTTTGGAATTATGATTAATATAATGGTTATTTATTCAAAGGGGAAAAAACTTACAGATTACCGTCCCAGACAACAGCCCCTCCGCACGAACAGGAAAGGAGTCCAGGGGCCGGAAACGGAGCCGGAAGACAAAGAGAGAGTGGAGGACAGCCGCTGCTTTTTTTAAAGGGAGAGACCACGCCCCAATGGGCTGGTAACTCAGCGGCGATTGGCTGAAGGAGCTGAAGGAACTCCCACAGCATCTCCCCCTTTTGTTTAAGTAAGAGAGTTCTAAGCCTATTACGCAATTATATACAATAAGTATAAACCTACGAAATTATATATAATAAATACAAATATCCTATTTTAACTAGCTTAAGTCTTGTATAACAAATAACTTGGCCAAGTTATGAAAGGAAAGTAACTACATTTATATAATCTTCAATCCCATTGAAGATCTGAGAAGGGAAATAATGTTATCTGAGTAATTAGGAAGTGCAATCAAACAACTTCCAGAACATGTAACAAATCGCAGAGACAACTGGCTACCTGGACAAACATCCAAAGTCACATTTGTAGCGTTGAAGCAACCAACTTTGGCTAAGGCCTGATGTAACTGACATATCATTTTTAAAGGCAAGAAACTTTAAAATTATCTTACCCTGTCTTGGCAGGATATGACAGTCTTGTTTTATCCATTTATGGATATTTTGTAATTCTGTCAGTAGTTGAGGTATGAGCATTTTTTTACCCAAAGGCCAGTTCTGCCAAGAAGAAAGGCTCCAGGTGGAGTGTCTTTGGTGCTTAACATTCTCTCGGGCATAGATCAGTGTTGTCAGGAGTGATTGTGTCTCCCTACCATAGAATTCTGAATTAGATTAAAGGCCATTTTTTACAGCTCTTTGAAGAGGTTGAAGATTATCTATTTATACTGAATATAATCTCTATATATCTAAAGAACCTGATTAGTCTAATTATAAATGACAAACTTAGATGACTGTTGATCTATATAATTTTCAATATCTATCTAATTTAAAGACTGAGATAATAAACAAGTGTGTAATAAATGAGGACAATGAGACCTCCAAATATAAACAATGTGCAAGTATACATTGTAATATGGTAAATATATATCAATATATAAACAATATATAAGTATCTTAATCAGAGGTAGAAGTGTATAATGCAATATGGTAAATATATATATATCAATACAATATATATATACAAATACATAAAAATGTTTTAAACAGAGGTAGAAGCATGAAGCATGCATGCATAAAATAGTCAACATAATTTAACTTTGTATCAATATATAAGAATCGATACCAATATGTTTGTCTAAAAGCAATAACTCATAAGTACAAATCTATTTATCCCATAATCCAATTATCCCTCCTTTTTTTTTTTTCTGGTGTTTGGAATTCTTGATGTTCTGGTGTTTGGAATTCTTGTGAATATTTCTTTGAAGCTCTTTTAATTTCTTTAGTGGTCTTGGAATATCACAATAGCAGTTTAAGCTATTAAGAGGGCATACCTCTTTGTGTATTTAGCCTATTCCCACACCACAGGTTAAGTGTGGGCTGATCCTTTATTCAGCCCCAAATGGTGGTTGAAATGAAACCTAGAAAACTGATTTGTCTCTTCAGTGTTTCAAAGTTCGGTGTGCACGTTCATGACCCCAGCAGATTTTCTGATTCTTAAACCCAATGTCTTCTTTCTATGGCTTCTGAAACACAATACGTCTTTACACAACACCTCTTCATAAGTGAGTGAGTATTTTCTAGATGGCAGCATAGGGAGAGAGAACGCACACAGATTCCAACTGTCTCCCTGAGTTGAAGAGATGGAGCCTAGGATCTGGAGAAAGCGAGGCATCCGTAATTTATAAGGCAGAGCACTGAGAAGACCCGAGCTGCTCAAGATAACTCTGGAGGAGGAGGAGGGCTGAAGCATCCTCCTCGAATAATCAGTAAGCACATGCAGATGAAGAAACACCTAGGGCCAAGGAAAGAACTGGCGGGAAGAATGAAAGGAACAGTCCTCACACTGCATGCACAAAAACCTGAATGGAAAACCTTATATTAGACTTACGGAGGATACCGCCCCAACTATGGGGGAAACATTGACCCTAAGTTAAGTGAGGTTCTTACTGGCCTAGTAATATTTAAAAACAACAACTGGAGGCTCAAATTACTTACAAGTAACTTGAGTTCATTCAGAAAAATCCAAGAATATTTAAAAGAATAAAAAATATCCATCACTCAACACACTAAGGCTATTGATGCCTGGTGTTCCAGTAAAAATGACTAGATATAGAAAGAAAGAGTAAAGTGGAACCCACCATAACAAGAAAAATGAGTAACAAGAGACAGGATTACCAGGCCAGAATATTTAAACTGTTACTATGGCTTTATTTCACAGGCACAGGAAGCCCAGATAGGGGCTGGAGAGACGGCTCAGTGGTTAAGAGCACATATGGTTCTTCCAGAGGACCGATTTAAATTCCCAGCACCTCCATGGCAGCTTACAACTCTCTGTAACTCCAGGGTCCCAAACCCTCACACAGACATATGGAGGTAAAACATCAACACAATTAAAAATAAAAAGTCAAGAGAAAAGCTAAACAAGCTCTATAGAGACCTGAAAGCTTTAGGAAAGACTCGAAATGAAGAGCTAGAGGTGAGGATTATACAGTCGTAGTGAAAACCAGTGTGGCTGAGACTAGTGGAGGGGCGGTCACTGTACAGCTGATGTACTCTCGATGACGTGATCAACTGCACACAGTACAACACAGACAGGAATGAGTACCTAAAACATAGACAGACAATAACTGAATGGAAGGAGAAATTCAAGCCACCAAATGCCCATGAAACGAATGTAAAATCTGCGACAGAGTGGCCGCAGGGAGTCCGAAAGGTCATTTGGAACAATAATGGTCAATGTTTTCCCAAATTAGATGAAAACCAAACCCACTTGTTCGGAATTCTCAACAAACCTCAAGCACAAGCAACAGGAAGAAAACTACATCTGTGTTTAGTATGATCAAATTATGTAAATCTACTGATAGAGTAGTAGTGCTTCCTTGTGACTGCAGGCTCACAAATGATATGGAGACTTCTTATTAATTATGAAAGCCTGGCCACCAGCTTAGACTTGTTCCCCAGCTTGTACAACTTCATTAACCCATATTTTAAATCTACCTTCTGCCAAGTGGCTCGGTTACCTTTCCTCAGTATGGAACATCTGACCACAGTGCTCAGAGTCTGCTGATGAAATCCATGCCTCGATTCTTCCCCCTCTTCCTCTCTCTCTGTGGAAATCCCACCTATCCTCTTCTACCTAGCTATTGGCCATTTGGTTTTTTATTACACCAATCACAACAACACATCTTCACAATGTACAAACATTCTACAACATGATAGAGTTAAAGACATAGAAGCTATCAGAGAGAGAGAGAGAGAGATGTACTACATACACAGAACAAAGGAATGACCACATTTCTCTTCAGAAGAAGTACAAGCTAAACATCTTAAAGTCTTGAAAGAAAAAAAAGAACACACTGTCAACATACACAGGAAACAAAGAAAAACCCCAATTGTTTGATTCTTTGAGACAGTGTCTTTTGTTGTTGTTTTGTTTTTGTTTTTGTTTTTCAAGACAGGGTTTCTCTGTAGCTTTGGAGCTTGTCCTGGAACTAGCTCCTGTAGACATGACTGGCCTCGGATTCACAGAAACCCACCCACCTCTGCCTCCTGAGTGTTAGGATTAAAAGTCTGTGCCACCACTGCCCAATGAGGCAGTGTAATCTTATGTGGTCCACCTGGCCTTGAATTCACAGACCCCCTGTCTCAAACTCTCAAGTGCTAGAATTATAGGTATGGTCTAGTATATCTAGCTATATTTTTTTTAAATCCTCTTTTAAAACTTTTTCAATGAAGCCAAAATAAGTAAAATTTTTAGACATACAAAAGTTGGAAAAAGAGTCATTACCAGGATATCTATACCATGAGAAATGTAAAAGGAAGTCCTTATGACAACATGGGAACCTAGATCTACATGAAGGATAGAACACATGAGATGTGATCACCATAGAAGCAAATCTGAAAATGAGGTGGAGATGTAGCTCAGTTTAGACTGTTTGGCTGACATTTGAATAGCCCTGGGCTCAATCCAACATTGCAAGAAAAAATTCTATTACTGAAATAATAATATTGAGATATTTAAGAGATAATACACTTTATATAAGACTAATAATGTGTTAGCCAGGTAGTGGTGGTTCACACCTTTAGGCCCAGCACTCAGGAGGCAGAGGCAGGCAAATCTCTGAGTTCAAAGCCAGCCTGGTCTACAGAGTGAGTTCCAGTATAACCAAGGCTACACAGAGAAACTCTGTCTCAAATCTCCTGCCCCAAATCCATGTGGGATTTTAGTTTTTTCTTTAAATAATTAAAATGTATTATAGAGTTTATATCATTCATAGGAAGA